CCTCCCTCTTGGGCTTTTTCTGCCCCTCGGGCTGCCCGGCCCACCTCTCAGGCTTTTCTCTTTCCTGCCCGGGCTTCCCCTGCCACTTGCACCGCTGCGCCGGCCTTTGCTGACGTCATCATCGTCGTCACTGCGCCCCTTGCTGACATCATCATCCTCATCATCCTCATCAGAGGACCGGCTGCTAGAAGACAATTGAGACCGCCCACCTCCCTCTTCCCCTGCTCCTGTTCCCCTCTTACCTCCTGCTTCTTCCCCTCCCCTTCCTCCTCCACTACCTCCCCCTCTTCCCCCTCCTCCTCCCCCTCCCCCTCCTCCTCCCCCTCCCCTTGGTGCCCCCTCTCTGCCCTGGCCACTGGCTGTGGAGGGTTCAGAAGCAGAAGGGGAGACTGGGGTGGGAGAAACAAAGGGGGGGGTGGAGGGCAGGACGAAAGAAAGGGAGAGGTTGGTGGGTTGGGCAGAAAAATCGGGAAAATATGGTGGTGAGTGAAGCAGAAAAAAGGGGAGAAGAAGAGACAATAGGAGCCTCCGCAGGTGAGTGGAAGGACCATAGTTTGCTTGCAATGTATGTTTTTTGAGAATTCGCAAACGACTTGCTTGCAAAGGAGAGGGGAAAAACATACACAGCATCATGGTTTGCTTTCAAAGGAGAGGGGAGAACGAGGGGGATTTGTTTGGGGCACGCAAACGAATTGGAACGCAGCACTGGAAGAGGAAAGAAAGAAATAGATAAAAGGAAGAAAAACAAACAAACAAACCTCCTCACACCCCTCTCTCATTCTCTCCACCCATTTCCCACCCTCTCCATTCTTCCCCATCCGTCTCCACCCCTCGCGCCTGACTGCATGAAAGAGCCTCGTGTGACAGTGCCAGTCTCCCTTCCCCCTCTTTACTTCCCCCCCTCCTCCTCATTCTCCTCACTGTCCTCGGTTATGAATGCCAGTTCCCTTCGCAGCTCCCTCTCTCACTCACTCCCGCTCTCACAACCCTGGAACGCACCTGACTGCTTGGAAGAGCCTCGTTTGATAATGCCACCCTTCTCCTCCCTCACCCCTCCTCCCCTCTCCTTCCCCTCCTCCTCCTCGTCCTCCTCACTGTCCTCTCCTAGTATCGCCAGTGCCCTTCGCAGCTCATTCTCCCGCTCCTGAAACACAGAATTGGAATAAAGAAGGGATGGATCAACGGCAGAGATGGGTTGACGGCGGAGATGGATTGATGGTAGGGACGAATCGACGGCATAGATTGAATGATGGAAAAGATGGTTTGACGACAGAAACAGATTGACGGCAGGGATCGCTCGACAGCAGAGGTGGATTGACGGCAGAGATGAATCGACGGCAAATGGGTTGAAAGAATGAAACGACGGATCATACCAGATAGGAAACTGAGCACAGACACATGCAGGGTCATGTACAGGAGCTCCTGTCTTATACAGGAGCATTATAAGAGACATAATAAGAAGCAGAGCTATATCCAGGGAGCAACATGTTAAAAACACTTTTGAGAATTCTCAGAAGTGATTTCACTATGCCTAGGGAGCAGCATACCTTGATCAGCCTCTTGGCATCTGCAAGCTTGACTAGATTATCCTCGTCTTCCACATTCCCCAGCTGACGTGGATGCATTGGAGAACATGGGCCGTGAGGGAGGGGAGCAAGAAGGAGGGAAACAAATGGGAGGAAGAATCTTGAATTGTAAACAAACAGATGTGTGGCTCACTGTAACGTGTGACATGAATCAACAACTTACATTCAGGCAGTAAGCTTCTCAGCTGCAGCATTCGGAATGGTCACACTCTGCAATTGAAACCCACGATTGAAAGAAAGAAAAAAAGAAAATCCAAATCTCCAAACTAGCAACTTCCAGACTCGAACCCTGACCTTTGAAGCTCAAAACGCTCACCTTGAAATCTCCACAAGGGGAGGCAGGCTCTCCACTCGCCTCAACCACCCTGCCACCCCCTCTCCTCCCTCCCCTTCCAAGTTAACCGCCACCGTCCAGATTCGAACCCTCACCTTTAAGCTCAAAACGCTCACCTTGAGTATCTCCACTAGGGGCGGCAGGCTCGCCACTCGCCTCAACCACCCCGCCACCCCCTCTCCTCCCTCCCCTTCCCCCCCCTTTCCAGGCCCACCTCCTGCCGTCACCCCCACAACATTCCCATAGTAGCTCGCGCCAGCCCCTCCTCCTGCTCCCACCCCCGCCCCCCCTCCTGCCCCTGTCCCTCCTGCAGCGCCGGCAGCAGCAGCAGCAGCAGGTCCTGTTTTCCCCAGTGCACGAGGTGCAGCGGCAGCAGGGACAGCCATGGCCATTCGTGCTGCGGCTGCTGCCGCTGCTGCTGTTGCTGCTGCTGCTGCTGCTGCCTTCTTGCCGTCTTTATCCACCCCAGCAGCCATAAGAGCAGCGGGGGCAGCAGCAGGGGCGGTAGCAGCAGCGGCGGTGGCGGCTAGGGGGAGGGCGGGTGGGCGGATAAAATCGAGTACTGGGGGGCCCTCGACCCATATGATGTCTTCTTTCGGGATCTGAAGGGGTGAGAAGAGGTGCAGGGCAGGTGGGGAGAGGGGGGGCAGGAGTGCAGTTAAGTCGGGTACTGGGGGGCCCTCCACCCATATGATGTCCTCCTTTGGAATCTAAAGGGGGTGAAAGGAGATGTGGGAGCGAGGGAAGAGAGGGGAAAGTGGGAGGTGGGCAGATGAAATCAAGTCAAGCACAAACTGGGGGGCCCTCCACCCATATGATGTCGTCGTTTGGGGTCTGAAGGGGTGAGGGGGGGAGAGGGAAGCGAGAAGGTGAGAGAAAGTACGAATGAGGAAAAGGGAGGGCGGGTGGGCAGATGAAAGTCGAGCACTGGGGGGCCCCCTCCACCCATATCATGTCCTCTTTTGGAATCTGGGGGGTGGTGGGGGTGGGGTGGGAGCAGGGGGAAGAGAGGGGAAAGTGGGTGGTGGACAGATGAAATAAAGTCAAGCACAAAGTGGGGGGGGCTCCACCCATATGATGTCCTCCTTTGGAATCTGAAGGGGAGTGAGAGGAGATGTGGGAGAGGCAGAGAGTCAGTTTTGAATCTGGCAAGTAAACGCAGATGTGGGATGGGAGCGGGGGAAGAGGGGTGAACGTGGGTGGGCAGATGAAATCAAGACAATCACAGACGGGGGCCTTGCACACAAACTATGTCTTCCTTCCTTTGGTTCTGGGGGAATGAGATTGTGAGAGGAGTACACCGGTGAATACATCCCATCTTCTGACTTATGAGTCGACTCAAAAGTTACCTCGTGATGTCTTCCTTTGAGTCTGGGGGAATGAGAGGAGTACACCAGCGAATGCATCCCATCTTCCGGCCTCACGTCTGTTATCACTGCCTCATAGACCCCCCTGTAACTCACAACCCAACCCAACCCATCCCAACCGAACCGTACTGAACTCAACCCACCATATTCAGGTCGACCCATTCGAAGCTCTCATTTGGCGTAGCTCATACACCAGCGAGTACATACCATCTTCCAGGCGGCCTTAAGAGCACTCAAAAACACGCTGCAACTTACAACCCAACCCGTTCCAACCCAACCCTACCCAACTGAACCGAACTCAACCCACCATATTCAGGTCGACCCATTCGAAGCTCTCATTGGGCGTGTTGAGCTCATACACCAGCAAGTACATCCCATCCTCCGGCCTCACGTCCGTGATCACCGCCTCATTAGACCCGCAACCCTTCCCACAGCCAGCAGAACAGCAGTTCTCACCCGCCTTAGTCCATTCCATACCCACCCACCCACCTCCCCTACTCCTCACCATATTCAGGTCGACCCATTCGAAGCTCTCGTTCGGTGTGTTCAATTCGTACACCAGCGAGTACATGCCATCCTCTGGCCGCACATCCGTGATCACCGCCTCATAGAATCGTGAACCGCCTCCCTCCTCGACCCACCGCGTCTTCACCCGCCGGCCTATGAGCGGGTCTATGGCTATCCCCCCCAGTGCCCCTGGTGCTGCTGCCAATCCTCCCGCCCCTGCGCCCCGCCCTGCTCCCCCCGGCGCACCCGCGGACTGAAGGGGCGGAGGGGGGAGCGGGAGTCAATGGGAAATGACGGGGGGGGGGGGGGGGGGGGGGGGGGGGGAAGGGAGGAAGGGTGATGAAGGATGGGGGGATATCGGCGGGGGAAGGAGGAGGGATGGAGCGAGAACGGAGAGAGATGGAAGAGGGGAGCGGGAAGGGGGCGGACAGCAGGGTAACTGGAAGACGGTCTGAGGGAAAAAGGGAAGCGGAAGTTGGGAAAGAGTGGGGAGACGGATAAGTTGGGTGGATGTAAGTATTCTGGGTGGATATTGACGTTGGCAATGCAGCCATCATTCCCCCCATACTCATCGCCCACTCACTCACCCATCTTCCGCGTCGCCCCTTGCCCTTCTCCCCTCTCCGCCCTACCCCGCAGCCTCCACAGGCGCCACTGCAAACGGCGCACCCACGCCCGCCCCCTCACTCACCCACCCACTCACTCAACTATCCTCACAGAAGAGCACCGCAGAACTAAAAGCTACTCACCCATCGTCCGCGTCGGCCCTTCCCCTTCCCCCCTCTCCGCCCCGACCCAACAGCTTCAGCAGGTGTTACTGCAAACGGCGCACCCACCCCCGCCCCCACTCCCCCACCCCCCCCCACCGCCCCCACGCCCTTCCCCAACGGCGCGGCAGAAAGGGCGGCCATTTTTGGCCGCTTGCGGGAGGAGGCTGGGGGGATGAGCTCGGGGGCGGGTGCAACTGGGGGAGGCGCGGCCGCGGGGGGAGGGGGAGGCGGGTGGTGCACATATGCCCCCGCATCCCTCGCCGTCTTCCAATTGCTGCGGGGATGGGGGGAACAGGGGGGAAGGGGAGTAGTAGGGGAAATCATTTTTTAGTGGACTCAAATCAGCAGATATGGCTGTCTTTCAATTGCTGCGCGCATGGGGGGAACGGGGGGAAAGTGGGGATGAGGGGATGGGAGGGAAGGGGGTAGGGGGATAATGGGGGAAGGGAAGACGGGACGGGAGGGGAGACGGGTGGGGGGGAAAGAGGGGTGGGGGGTAAAGAGCGGGTGGGGGTTGAGAGAGGGGGTTGGCAGGAAAGGGGCGGAGGGTGGGGGAGAGGTGGTGGGGTGTGTTCATGTGATGGGAAAGACGTATATGGGAGGTATGATGTTGGAAGCGACAGGATAACCCAGTGATACCAGCCAAAACGGAGGGCGTGACAGTGCGTGACAGTGCATGACAGTGTGAATACCAACCCTTCCAACACAACGCACCAGATGAGGCGGATGTTCCTGTCGCCATGCATGCACGCGCACAAGCACCAGTAGGCGGGTGCACGCCGTCCTGAATGTGCCTTATTTAAATGCCTGTGAAACCAACCAGCCAAGCCAACCAGCCAAGCCAACCAGCCAAGCCAACCAGCCAAGCCAACCAGCCAAGCCAACCAGCCAAGCCAACCAGCCAAGCCAACCAGCCAAGCCAACCAGCCAAGCCAACCAGCCAGGCCAACCAGCCAGGCCAACCAGCCAGGCCAACCAGCCAGGCCAACCAGCCAAGCCAACCAGCCAGGCCAACCAGCCAAGCCAACCAGCCAAGCCAACCAGCCAAGCCAACCAGCCAAGCCAACCAGCCAAGCCAACCAGCCAAGCCAACCAGCCAGGCCAACCAGCCAGGCCAACCAGCCAAGCCAACCAGCCAGGCCAACCAGCCAAGCCAACCAGCCAAGCCAACCAGCCAGGCCAACCAGCCAAGCCAACCAGCCAAGCCAACCAGCCAAGCCAACCAGCCAAGCCAACCAGCCAGGCCAACCAGCCAAGCCAACCAGCCAGGCCAACCAGCCAAGCCAACCAGCCAAGCCAACCAGCCAAGCCAACCAGCCAAGCCAACCAGCCAAGCCAACCAGCCAAGCCAACCAGCCAAGCCAACCAGCCAAGCCAACCAGCCAAGCCAACCAGCCAAGCCAACCAGCCAAGCCAACCAGCCAAGCCAACCAGCCAAGCCAACCAGCCAACCAGCCAAGCCAACCAGCCAAGCCAACCAGCCAAGCCAACCAGCCAAGGCCAACCAGCCAAGCCAAGCCAACCAGCCAAGCCAACCAGCCAAGCCAACCAGCCAAGCCAACCAGCCAAGCCAACCAGCCAAGCCAACCAGCCAAGCCAACCAGCCAAGCCAACCAGCCAAGCCAACCAGCCAGGCCAACCAGCCAAGCCAACCAGCCAGGCCAACCAGCCAAGCCAACCAGCCAAGCCAACCAGCCAGGCCAACCAGCCAAGCCAACCAGCCAAGCCAACCAGCCAGGCCAACCAGCCAAGCCAACCAGCCAAGCCAACCAGCCAAGCCAACCAGCCAAGCCAACCAGCCAGGCCAACCAGCCAGGCCAACCAGCCAAGCCAACCAGCCAAGCCAACCAGCCAAGCCAACCAGCCAAGCCAACCAGCCAAGCCAACCAGCCAAGCCAACCAGCCAGGCCAACCAGCCAAGCCAACCAGCCAAGCCAACCAGCCAAGCCAACCAGCCAAGCCAACCAGCCAAGCCAACCAGCCAAGCCAACCAGCCAAGCCAACCAGCCAAGCCAACCAGCCAAGCCAACCAGCCCAACCAGCCCCACCAACCCACCCTACCAGCCAAGCCAACCCCATCAAACGACCAACCCAGCCGAGCTAACCCTACCAACCCACCAGATGAGGCGGATGTTCTTGTCGTCATGCACTCGCGTGCGAGCAGCAGACAGACGGTGCACCTCGCCCGAAATGTGCCTTCTAAGCTGCCTCATTATTCAACGTACCAACCAACCAGCCGACCCTACCACCCTACCCTACCAACCCACCAGATGAGGCGGATGTTTTTGTCGTCATGCACGCGCGCGAGCAGCAGGCGGTGCACGTCGTCCGAGATGTTGAGCTCCTTGCGCAGATCCGACATCAGCGCCTCCTTCGCCTGCCATGCCAACATGCCATGCCATGCAACGTCAAGTCACGCCATGACATCATCAGCACGCATGCGGGCATGAGAGGACGTGTAGCAGAGGGGAAAGGGGAGTGAGCAAAGGGAGTAGAAGAAGGTGCACGTCGTCTGAGATGTTGAGCTCCTTTCGCAGATCCGACATCAGCGCCTCCTTCGCCTGCCATGCCATGCCATGCCAGGCCATGCCATATCACGCCACCATGCCATTCCGTGCCATGCCATGCCGTGCCATATCACGCCACCATGCCATATCACGCCATGCCGCCATGCCACCAAGCCACCATGCATGCACCAAGGGACGGCTCAGCTAGTGCGGCAGAGGGGCAATGGAAGTGGAAGATGTGCGTCGACGTACTGGCATCCGCCTACGCGGGTGATCGCCCCTACCCACGTGATCGCACCTACCCACGTGATCGCACCTACCCACGTGATCGCACCTACCCACGTGATCGCTCTACCCAAATGATCCCTCTACCCTCATGGTGCGCTACCCACGTGATCGCCACGCGATCGACCCTATCCAGGAGATCGTCCTACCCATGTGATCGCCCCTACCCACGTGGTCACCCTACCCACGTGGTAGCCCTACCCAGGTGATCGCTTCGGACTGCGCGCCGAACGCGCGGAGCACGGCGAGATACGAGTCGCGCTCCAGCTGCTGCAGCATGGCCTCCCACCCGCCGCCCCCCGCGCCCCCCTCTTCCACGCCCTCCATCCCCGCGGGGCCCCCTCCGCCGCCCCCCACCATCCCCGCGCCCGCGCCCGCCGCCGCCGCCGCTACCGATGCGGCCGCAGCTGCGGCGGCTGTTGTGGAGAGGTTGGAGCCTCGGACGCTGCTGCCTCGGCCGAGCCTCTTGGGAGGGGATGGGTACGCGTCGTCGTCCGAACCTGCGGGGCAGGCGCGGAAGGCGTGAAGAAGAACGTCGACAGGAGCGTTAGGGTTAAAGCCGACCGTGAAACGCAGCAACGGCGAACCGAAAGGCGGAAAAGGTCATCGAATAAATATGAATTATAGGAAAGGACCGGCTGAAAGAGAAAAAAAACGTCAATTATGGAAGGGCAAATGGCTGATGTCTAGCACGCGAGAGTAGGGATACCAATAAGGCGGATTACAAGCCTGATTAACGGAAGCGGATCAGGTTGCGGGTGAGGTGACGAGGTACCAGGGACGAGGGTATTATTAACGAATGTTTTGGCAGGTAAGAGGGGAAGGTGAAGAGGGTAACACGGACCGTCATGACCTGCGGCCGGCACAGGCTTGCTGGCCCCTCGCTGCTTTGCCTGCATACGTCAGCGTGATGCAACACGAACATCGTAGGATATCGAAAAGAAGAAGGGTTAGGTCGTCGATAGGTGGGGGGGAGACCAAGAACGGGGCAGCGTAGAGACGACCACGGCAAACTCACCATCGATCAGGAATGGGCCTAACTAAGCTAACAGAAGTGATAAGGGAGGTGGAAAGACCTAACCCTAACCCTAAACTGGCTTCTTCAAACTATTTGTAGAATATACAGCAAAGAGCAGTACGTGCACAGCCTGTTTGCTCATGCGTGTTATGATTTTCCACAACGAAAACAGATCTACAGTTATCGCGGATGAAATCGCACGGACCGAGCTGTGGTCGGCGTGCGACGGCCGGTTCGGAACCAAAGTTCGGTTCACCTGCCTGCCTGGATTCTCCCCATCTTCGTGCGGGTCGCGCTGTCAGGGCTGCTTGATTTCTGCGATAGCGTGCCCCCTCGTTTCGTTTCGCCTGTGGGTTCCTGACGATTCGTTGGCAGGCCTGTCGATGTTCCTGGGGCCCATACTTGGAGCCCCCAGCTCCTCCCTATCTGACCCTGTATTGGCCGTAGCTGAGTGTTTTGGCGCCCTTAACGGTCACGGGCGCAGGCCGAAGTGGAAACTTGATATCCGGGCTTGCACTTACACTCTCTTAGCTAAGGGAAAGTTCGGCTGCTCCAAAGCTGACTTAGAGAGATCACAAACACGGGATTGGCTAGAAAACGCTAAGGGAAAAATTTCCTTGGCGCGCTCTCGTGCAACCAAGGAGAAAGGGGGGGGGGGGGGTGGAGTGGGGGGGTCAGGCAGAATTTCTTGGGGGGGGGTCCCTAGAACCAGAAATCAAAACTTTGTGGGTGGGGAAGGCCTGTTTGGAGCCCTTAACGCATCCGGGATAGGGTCGAACGAAGCACTTAGTGGCACGGGTACTGGGCGGTCCTAACACTTAATGCAGTCGAGCTGGAGCGAAAGTAACCCGGAATTTCAGGGCATTAAGGGCATATGCCCGTCAATCGGCAGGCCTGTTCGTTGGCCAACCAGAGTCGCCGTAAAATGACAGGCTGTAATCAAAGCTCGTCAGGAGTGGTGGACGACTTTCGATGAAGGTCGCGGACACCTTTCTGACTTACCTCCCACGCACCTGTTCCTCGTTGTTGCCCCTCGGTTTTCACGAACTGTTCCGCCGGCTACCTCCCCTCCCGCGTGCCATTCCTTGAAGTTTGCTTCACCGCCGCCCCCCGCGCCCCCCGCCTTACCCCGTCCGCCCACCCCAATCCAATCAATCCCCTTCAGCATTTCTGCCGTGCTGTTTGTTCTTGCGTCACCCCCATTTCTTCACTAGGAGAAGGGAGTCTCTATTCCTACTCACCGACCTTTCACATACCTCTGTGTCCCCCTTGTGGTGGTCTGCTTCAGCACAACTTCTCGCAGACTTCAGTTCCCTTTTAGCTTCTCGCCTGGGACGTCGAGTGTCGTATGCGTTATGGCTAACATCGTCTCTCGCTAGCGTCTCGGCCGAATCCTTTTGAAAGCAAGCGTGACTGCAATCTCGCTACCGCCGATAGCGGACCTTCGCCGCGTCCTGGTCTCATCGAATAATTGAGAAGTCGAATAAGTGAAGCCATGGGCCCGGTTCGATTAAGTCGAATAAGCGATGGGTCCTGCTCTCCGTCATCCACAACGTCATGTTGTAGAGTTTCCTCTACTCCAGCTCGACACAATCCGACCCTCAACATCCCACCTCGCCAACACCGACACCACCGACCGCACCATCCGCAACCGCGCGTCCTCCTCCTCCTCCCGCTGCTTCTCTTTATCGCCAGTTCACCCTCCTACTGCTCCGCCGCAAAGCCCGCTCCCTCCACCGCGAAACCTCCCCGCTCAGCGCTCTCCTCCCATTCCGTGGATTCCGCTCCGGACCCGTTTGGTAATGCCGAGGTGCTCGGATTTCCCAAGCCCCCCAATCTCATTTCCGACAGCACACCCGCTGCCACCGTACGTCAACGCTCCACTGACGATAACGATGACGGATTCCGTCAAGAGCTGCTTTCCGTCAACCCGCCTAAATCACCTGTTTCCGTACTGACCGTCAGTATCCTAACGGTGCTAATGGCGGCAGCGACAGGCCTCGGGTCGCTGCCGTTTTTCTTCATGGAGATGGAGGAGGAGTGGGCTGGCGTGTGTAACGGCGTGGCTTGCGGCGTGATGATGGCAGCTAGTTTCGACTTAGTCTCCGAGGGAAGGTTGCACGACAGCGGATCAGGCGGCGCGTGCGTTGTGGTAGGGATTATTCTAGGCGGGCTGTTCATTGTTTTAAGTCAGCGGGTATTGGAGCAGTTCGGGGACGTTAAAATGATGGATTTAAAAGGCGCATCGGCCAACCGCGTGGTTCTCATCCTCGTTATCATGACCCTCCACTCCTTCGGCGAAGGCTCGGGAGTCGGCGTCTCCTTCGCCGGCCCTCGCGGGCTGTCGCAGGGGCTGCTGGTAACCATCGCCATCGCCGTGCACAACGTACCGGAGGGCCTCGCGATGACTCTCGTCATGGTCGCGCGCGGCGTGCGGCCGCGCAACGCCATGCTCTGGAGCGTCTTCACGAGCCTCCCGCAGCCGCTCGTCGCCGTCCCCGCGTTCCTCGGCGCCAACACCTTCACTCAGTTCCTCCCGCTCTGCATGGGCTTCGCCGCGGGTTGCATGATCTGGATCGTTTTCGGCGAGGTTCTCCCGGAGTGTATTAAAGAGGGCGCGAACTCCTCCCACATCGCCTCCGCCGCGACTCTCTCCGTTGCGTTCATGGAGGCGCTAGGAGCTTTCCTCGAAGGCGCGGACGCGCCAGAAAGCTGGCACCGATTGGTACCGATTGCTTGGGCGCTGCTGTTCTTTCTCGGGCCACTCGTAGGGTCCGTACTCCCGCTCATCCTGTCCCACTCGCTCCCTGCCCCTGTGTCGCCGCCTCTGCTATCTGGGCTAGCGGGAGGGGCGCTGCTCGGTTTGGCGCTGTGGCAGCCGGTGCAGCTGCTGGTAACTGGACAGATGGAGGTGTTGCCTCTGCTGTCAGTGTTCTATGTGGGCTGTGTGCTGCATTACTTTTGTGCCAGTATGGGGCGGGGCCTGGGGGGTGGGTGTGTGGGCAACGCGCAGCAGAAATTGCAGGGCGGTTTTGGTGACGTTCAGTATAGTCACGGGCTGCAGCAGTGGGTTGGGGACGGCGATGAGAAGGAGGTGCTCCGGGCGTGCAAGCCGAGCCTGCAGCTTAGCTACGGAATCCGAACCTCCATTCTGGTCTGTATTGCTGTCTCAGGCCATGCTTTCGCGGAGGGGCTTCTGTTGGGGCAGAAAGCAGCGCCAGGAGGGGACCTAGGAGGAGATTTAGGAGCAAGAGGAAGAGGAGGAGGGAGAGTAGGAGAGATTGGGATGCGCATGCTGCTTCCAGCAGCCATTCATGGAGTGCCACGTGGCATTGCTGCAGCAGCCGCTGCACTAGGTTCCTTCTCCATCACTCGTTCCACCCCGGAGCTTCCCGTAGCAGCTGTTCCGTTAGCACTCGCATCGGCGGCTGTAGCAGGGCTGGCTGGGCCTATCGGTGCTGTAGCGTCTTTCTTTTTGTTTCATACCTTTGGAGCTGGGCTGCTGAACTGGCTTGTGCTAGCCTGCGGCTTGCTGGCCCCTGCAGGATTGGATCAGCTGCTACCTGGAGGGCTGTGGGTGGCTGGTGGGAGAGGAGTTGTGAGTGGAAAAGGAGGGGAATGGGGATGGAGTGTTTTGGATAGGAGACGAGTGGTTGTGGGGGCGGTGTTGGGAATCATGCTTGTGGTGGTGAGCTTCATGGGGAAGAGAACGATATGTGCGCACTCGAGCTTCTGTAATGCGGCTCCGGTGGCACTGACATGAGTTGGTGTGTAGATTGAAGTGGCATTGCAGCATATGCGTCTGTGTTATCAATGCTCAATCTCTGCTAGGTGTACATTGTCTGCATGTCGAAATCCATTGTTTTTTTAGGTTCTTAAAAGATTTGTACATGTTGAGATTATTACGTAATAGCAACACAACTGTCTGCTGTAGCCTTGTGTAAGGAAATTCCCTTTTCCTTACTTCGCGTCCCTGCCCAGCGCGTACGTCACTGTAGCACCTCAGTCAGCACCGTTACCACTCGCGACCATCGCATCATTCATCATCCCGCCTTTTTCGCACATCGCATCCCGACCTCACGGCTCGGCTGGTAACCCGCGCTCCGGGCCTACGCTTCGACACTTTCCCAACCTCAGTCCCAGGCTCGACGCGCGACAACCACAGTCCATTACCGTTACCACTATTGTTTCGCTATATAATCCTTCGCTCATGCCTTCGCTCATTGTACTTTTTGCTTCGATAGTGCAATTCTCGTTCCTTCACTCAATTGCACACGTAACACTTGGTATTCAGAGCCTACGATCTCATCTCGGACCGCATCCACACCTTCGCTTCCCACTATCTCAATTTTTTGGGGGGGGTAGACGTCTCTCAGCGACACAGCACCGCCGCTCGAAGTGCTCTCTCGCAAGCACGCACGGCCACGACCGAGGCTCTCGCTGAGCTTGCCCGACACCCCCGCCATGGCCGACCTCAATCTCGCCACGTTGACGCAGGAGCAACTCGATCGTCTCGTGCGACAATTGGAGGATTCGGCGCTTGAAATCGCGACGCTCACGGCGGAACGTGACTCCGCCCGTCAACAGTCAACGGTGAATGCTCCGACAACATCCCACGCACCAACCAATGTCTCTGTACATTCGGAGGAGCCGATTATCATTTCATCCGGCACACCAACGCAACACAACAGCACGGGACAGCGCTCAGGCGCAGCCAGTGACGGCGCAGCCCAACCGATGCCCGGCATGGGAGGGAACAGGAGCACGCTAAGCCCACGGGAGCCCCGAGAAGCCCGTCGGCACGTGGAGTTTGCGACGACAAGTGGTGAAAACGCCATGATGGCCCCAATGCCACTCAAGCCGCAACGCCCGCCCTGCTTCGACCCAAGCCAACGCGGCGGCCCGACAGTTCAATCGTGGGTCTTCACGATGAATGTGTTTTTCGACGCCAACTACGTCGAGTCGGACGCCGCCAAGATTCGGTATGCGGTTTCACTACTCAGGGGCCCCGCCATGGACTGGTGGCGAGTCATCGTGACGTCGCCACGCGCCTACGAGCCACCGTCGCACGAGGAAGGGCCCTCGGGTCCAGCTGTCACCTGGAGTTCGTTCTGCGAAACAGCCCAATACAGCACGTGGGATGCGTGGTGCGCAGGGCTTCGGGCGCGTTTTGAGCCGATCGCGGCTTCGATTTCGGCGCGTCAGAAACTGCGCACTTGGCGCCAGCTCGGGTCGGTTCAAGACTACACCAGCGGTTTTCTCGCACTTTGCGAACAGGTCGGCTACATGCACGAGGCGGAGCGGGTGGACCGTTACGTCGGAGGGCTGAAGCCGGACATATCGCACGAGATAATGCTACGCGGGCTATCGAATTTCAACGAAATCCTCGCGCTCGCCGAGAAAATCGATATCCTACGCCGACCGAGACCGGGGTCCTATTTCGGACATCGCCCTCGGGGACCGATCGAGCACGCCACTGTACATGCCGTCGCAACGAATGCAGCTGCCACGCCATTTAGAGGGCGCTGCTTTGCTTGCAACCGGCCGGGCCATCGCAAGAGCGAATGTCCAGAGGAGCTGAGGCGTCGAGGAGCAGAGCAGGGGAAGGAGTCTCAGAGGCAGGGAAACGCCAGCAGTCAGTAGAAGTTGGGCCAACTACTGACGAGACTGCCTGCTCGCCCAACCACACCGACCCTCACCGAGTCACAGTACCGATTCACGCCATCGATCGGGCTCGGATGAATAAGGAGGGTACAGCGACGGATTGCCCGGTACTGATCTACGGGAAAATACAGGGAGCAGCAGTGAAAATCTTCATTGACGGAGGAGCAAGTCACAGCTTAGTTAATACTGCAACCGCACGGAAATTACAGTTAACACTTAACCGATGTTTACCTGAGATAGATGCACGCTTAGTCGACGGCACGCCTTTGGCCATACGAGAAAAAGTGGAGCGAGTAAAAGTCCGCTGCGGGGGAAACTTCGGGTTTACACAGGAAATGCTCGCAACGACGCTGGATGGGCACGACATTTTACTGGGACGTGATTGGCTGCGACGGTACAACCCACGGATCGACTGGACGACGGGGAGCTGCAAAGTGCGAAGTAGCGGTAACTGGGTCGTCCTACCTCGCTGGCGGCCACCCGAATCTTCGACAGTCCAGGTCAACGCCATCGCGATGAAACGGGCTGTCGCTGCTGGAGCTGACGTGTACGCAGTGGATATCGCAGTGGTAGAAAAAGACGAGCAGCAGAACGATTTACAGAAACTGCTAGCAGCCCTACCAACCGAATTACAAGCACTACTGAAACGGTTCCCGGGGATATTTCCGGATGATTTACCACAGGGACTGCCACCTCAGCGAGCGCACGACCATAGGATCGAGCTAGAACCGGGGGCACAGCCAACAGTACAGCGGCAATTTCGACTGACACAGCCCGAGCTCGACGAGTTAAGGAAGCAGTTAGATTACCTGTTAGAGAAGCAGTTTATCCGACCGAGCTCGTCACCGTTCGCTGCACCCATACTGTTCACACCGAAAAAAGACGGAGGTTTTCGCATGTGCATCGACTACCGAGCGCTGAACCGAGTAACAGTCAAATCGCGATACCCCATCCCCCGCGCCGACGAACTGATTGACCAACTGCGAACAGCACGTGTCTTTTCGAAAATAGATTTACGAGGAGGTTACCATCAGATTCGCGTCGAACCATCGGACTGCGCAAAAACAGCATTTAGGACTCGGTACGGGTCATTCGAGTATACAGTAATGCCCTTCGGGTTGACGAACGCGCCTGCGACTTTTCAGATGACCATGAACGAGGCATTTAGGCCACTTTTAGATAAATGCGTCATCGTTTACCTCGACGATATCCTCGTTTACAGTCGGGATAAGCAGCAACACTTAGCAGATCTTGAAGCAGTTTTTAAGGTTTTGGAGGAACATCGGCTGCTCACCAAAGGCTCCAAGTGCGAGTTTTTTAGGGATAGGCTAGAGTTTTTAGGTCACGTCATTTCAGAGGCTGGGGTTGAGATTGACCCAAAGAAGCTGGACACGGTAAAAGCGTGGCGCCCCCCGACGAACATCACGGAACTGCAGAGTTTTTTAGGGTTTGTTAATTACGTTCGACGGTTCGTGCCCGACATGGCACATTTAACCGCCCCACTAACTGATTTACTGCGTAAGGGGGTCGCTTTTACGTGGGGGGAGAAAGAGCATGCTGCCTTCTCTGCCCTAAAAAACGTTCTCTGCTCACCACCCGTCCTACGCATCGCTGATCCCCACCGCCCTTTCGAAGTGGTTACCGACGCAAGTGACATCGCCATCGGAGCTGTACTGTTACAGGACTTCGGCAACGGCCTCCAACCCATCGCCTACGAATCACGAAAACTACATCCGCCTGAGCGAAATTATCCGATACACGACCGCGAAATGCTCGCGATCGTGCATGCATTCAAAGTTTGGCGCTGCTACTTGACTGGCGCAGACGTGACAGTACGGACAGACCACCGATCTCTACAGTACCTCCGCGCACAGCCCCACCTCAACCCACGACAGATTCGATGGCTCGATTTCCTCGAGTCGAATTTTCACTATACGGTCACATACAAAAAAGGAGCATCGAATATCGCCGACGCACTGACCCGCCCCACTGCCCAGATCCACGCGATACTACTCGCCCAGACCAGCCCACTGCTTACCGGCCTATTTACCCACGGATATCAAACAGACCCGTTCTTTACAGGAGGCAACTCACAGCAATTCGCAGCGGCAAAAGGAGTCTATTACGTAAAAACTGGAACCGACCGCATCTGGGTACCGGGATACACGTTACTTCGGGAATTACTGTTACAGGAAGCACACGACGGAGTTACCTCGGGACATTTCGGGGTAGAAAAAACACGGCAGCAGCTGCAGCGGTACTACTACTGGCCAGAAATGTTGACTGACGTGCAACGACACGTGGCATCGTGTCCCACTTGCCAGCTCATGAAGACAAGCAGGAAGCGACCAGCAGGGCAATTACAACCCATCCCGCCTCCAGAGCGTGCTTGGCAGCAGGTGACGATGGACTTCGTCACGGGGTTACCAGCTGGGGCGAGTGGGAATGACGCGATCCTGGTCGTCGTCGATCGACTAACGAAAATGGCTCATTTCGCAGCATGCAGGAAATCCATCACAGCCGAGGAAACCGCCCGACTATTCATCTCCACCGTCGTACGCCTGCACGGGATACCCGCGTCGATCATCAGCGACAGGGACACGAAATTCACCAGCAACTTCTGGCGGAACCTGTGGCAGCAGTTCGGCACGCGTTTACAGTTCAGTTCATCCTATCACCCCGAAACCGACGGACAGACGGAACGGACAAATCAGACCATGGAGCAGCTGATTCGAGCCACGTGCGACGACCCGAATAGGTGGGAACAGCAACTGCCACTCATTGAGTTCGCATACAATAACGCACCATCAGCCACGACGCAACAGTCGCCGTTTTATCTAAATTACGGACAGGACCCAACAGTACCCATGACACCGAATCCCGACAACCCCGTCCCATGAGCACAACAGTTCGCCGAGATCCTGCAAGCAGCACGGACCAGGGCAGCAGAAGCAATAAAAAAATCAAACATCATCGCTAAACGCAACGCCGATCGACATCGCAGACCCGTTACTTATCAGCCCGACGACCTCGTTTTACTCGACACTCAGAACCTTCGCCTGCCCATCACTCCAAAACTTCGCCCCCGATATTGTGGGCCATTTCGCATCAGCCACATGATCACACCCGTCACCGCCCACCTCCTCCTCCCCGCTGACTGGTACGTCAGCCCGTCATTCCACGTCAGCCTACTTCGCCCTTACATCCCATCCACGAGCCAACTGCCACGAAATCGCCCAGCCAGCATGACACGTCCCCCAACCGAACCACTCATCACCCATGAAAAAATCCTCAGCCACCGCGTCCGCGACCCTCGGGGAGCCCGAAGGATCGAGTTCCTAATTCGCTGGAAGGACCGAACGCCAACAGAAGACAACTGGGTCCCCCTGGATAAAATTGAGAACCACCCTGTCTTCACCGAGTATCTGCGAAGCCGAAATTTCCGCGACGTCCATGCGCTCTCGTAAGAGGGGCCTCCTTGGGGAGGGGGGTAGTGTAAGGAAATTCCCTTTTCCTTACTTCGCGTCCCTGCCCAGCGCGTACGTCACTGTAGCACCTCAGTCAGCACCGTTACCACTCGCGACCATCGCATCATTCATCATCCCGCCTTTTTCGCACATCGCATCCCGACCTCACGGCTCGGCTGGTAACCCGCGCTCCGGGCCTACGCTTCGACACTTTCCCAACCTCAGTCCCAGGCTCGACGCGCGACAACCACAGTCCATTACCGTTACCACTATTGTTTCGCTATATAATCCTTCGCTCATGCCTTCGCTCATTGTACTTTTTGCTTCGATAGTGCAATTCTCGTTCCTTCACTCAATTGCACACGTAACACCTTGCCAGGTCAATTATGTTGCCTGATCGCTGATGTCAGGACGTCCATTTCAGCAAACGACTTTCCCTGACATGCCGCCGCCTTTCTCCAGTCTCCCTGCAAGCCCTCGCCTTCCTTCCCACCTTCAAGTTCGAAATTCGACGCCCATTTCCTTCTGGCCTTGAGATCTGATGGAGGGAGAATTCTGAATGGTGCTTCGAGAATCTAGACTTCGCGTCGCCCTTGCTCCAGAACTTCGAGACGCTTCGCTGACCCCTTTCCGCCGCCAGAGCAGCAGCATGGCTCGAAGCTTGTGTCCGCTTGCTGCGGTAGGAGAGCGTTCATGGAGAACGCTCACCATGGGATGCACCTTTGCGACGCCTCATTCTTGCAATACTAGAAAGCGAGTGATTCAAGCTCTCGTTTTCCTGCATCATCGCTGTAGTACAGACCTTTTTCAACTTCAAATCTCTTGACTACTTTCGCTGGTAGAAAGCGCTCACTCACTCATTTGAGTCGATCAGGCTTCAGAGTCGACTCAGAAGCCTTACTAGAAGCCCAGCTTCAAGCTGCAGTTAACGTTTGTTGCTGGCAGAACGTTAAGCCATGGCTTCCGCTTCTTCTCAGGCTGGATTCTTAGCGAAGCAGGGTCTGAGTTTCTTGTACAGCGCCACTGTAACGGGGGTGAACGCGGTGTCGACAGGAATCAGCAAGGCATGTAAACACTACGCTGATCTGCACGAACGGGAGAAGATCGAATCCATGCGCAAAGCAGGGAAACGTCCAGAAGACGTCATCTTCGCAGGTGCGACAAGGGACTTGATAAGCTGATCCTAATAATCCATTCGATCAATTTATATTCTAATAATTCCTGACATACGTCTTACGGACCTCTGACTGCTTTCTCCTCTCCCGCAGCCCTTCAACGGCTGCTTCACCTTGAAATGGCAGGTTACCACCACGAAGTGGCTGCGGTTTCGCAAAAGATCGCCACCAAGCTGGTATGGTACTTGTAGATTCGTATAGCCCCGTTACTGTTTCTACGCTCAACGCCTCATGTTATAAGCAATTATCTCTTGTAGCTGACAATGTAAGCTCGTTAAGGTTCTTGGCACGTTCTGCAGCTCTCGGATTATCACTGCCTGTGCGTTTCTTCAGTGCACAGCAGACGACTTTTGAGGATTCCAAGTACTCTTGGCGGTCACTGTCTGTGGGTTTCAGGGCACAGCAGACGACAGGAGCAGCGTGGAGCATCAGACGCTGCAGGCACTCAGCCGGACCCTCATGGAAGCCTGTCGTCAGCATGGCATGGACGTAACGCCATCAATGAAGGGCGGGAGGCTGGGGTTTCAAGGCCTTGAGGACTTTCTGAACTCGTCGCGAATGGGAACTGACCACTATGATCGCGACAAGCTGGTTACTGACCTGTATTTCGCCTTCCTGTTTGCCCAAGATGTATGTGACCTGCTGTGCTTCCCAAAATACTTGCAAATAATAGTGTTTTGTGGAACATGCTAAAGTGCACCTTCATGTTTCTGGCAGGCGTCTGTCTCATTCTTTTCCTTAGGTGTCTATCCGGTTTTGCAAAATCACAACTGATACTTATTTCCCTAATTCTTTTCTCTCCTTTTATCGTCCATCAGGTCGCTCAAGGTAACACTCAGGGCATTGAAGCAGCTATTAACGAAGCATTGGAGAGGCTTATATCAGGACCAGCTCGAGACTGCCTGTCGCCTGTATCCCCCCTGAGCCCAGCATCCAGTGGGGGTGCACAGTCTCCTGGCAAGACCGTTGGAGGGTTCTCCTCTGGCTGCGTGCGTGCTGCTTCTGTCAACGACCTCCCTGCTTACGCTCGTCCAGACGCTCTCAAACTGCCCCAGGCCCCTCCGACATCAACGCCCTTTTTTTCCACCACGGCTACTACCAGCGGCAGCAGCAGCAGTGGGGGCAAATGGGGGACATCACCCTCTTCAGTTAGCAGACAGGCAGGGAACAAGCCAGCACCTCTTGTGGGCGTTGGAACAGAAGATGATAAGACGTGTGTGCCCTATGGGTTCTAGCCTGCACGAGTGCCAGAACCAATCTGCATGGTTAACATGCCAGCCAGCATTCTGCATGCATTCACTCCTTGTCTGACACGTGTCTGTATGTGATTGGCAGGTCGGGAGGGCTGCTGGTTCTCAAGCGGCTGGCGTGCTGTGTGGCAAGGGCGGCAGCAGAGGCAGAGGCGCGCAGGCAGCGAGGGCTGCTGAACGCACATGAGGTGGTGAGGAGGGAGCAGGATAAGGCCAGCAGAGCAGCAGCCATGGCTGGTGGCGGAGCAAGTGGGGGAGGTGGAATCGGTAGGCCTGGAGTGGGTGGGGCAGGAGCGGGTCGGGGTATGCCCATGGGTGGGGGGAGGCCGATTCCTGCTGTACCTGGTGGCTCTGCTTCTTCCCTCAGTAGTGCAGGGGGTGTGAGCTACCCTCCTGCTGCCAGAGCTGCTGCTGTGTCTAATTGGAAAGGGGGTAGTTGCAGTGCTGTGCCTGGGGATGCTTCAGTTGAGGCTTATGGTGGAGGGATGGGGGGGTTCACTGGGGGAGTGGGTGGGGGGACAGGCAGTTATGGGGCGTCTGTTGGGGGTGGCAAGGTGGCGGGTGGGCCAGGGAAGAGCAGTGGAGGGGGATGGGGGGGAGGGAAGAGTGTTGGAGGGTGGTGAGATAGGAAGCAGTAAGGATGGGTGAAGGAGGGAGTGGTAATGTCAGAGGAAAAACGATTGTTGGAAGGATGGAGAGTCACAGGTGGGGCTACTGCAGAGAAGAGATCCCTGCAATGATTGCTTTTTCTTACCAACGTCACTTCATCTGACAGCTACCTAGCCTTCAAGAGAGCCAATTTGATTTTGTTAGATGCCTGCAAACACTTACGGTAGTTTCAGATCAGGATGAGTCAATCTGGTACCATGTGAAATGAAACCACACATAGAAATGTCACGTCATAAGCAAGCATTGGATACAGAACTGAAACTGATACCGTACATCACTGAGCTGATGCATGAGACTACCGTACATACACCATGCTGTTCCAAAGCCTAGCCAAACACCACGTACATCACCCTCTTATGCACTCGAAGATGCAAACGGGTCGTGTGCTTGGCTCTACTGGAAAATCGCATGGCTACTTCCCTGGAAAAGTTTTACCGTGGCAAGGGCTGTAGACGCGGGAGAAAATTAACCTACTCCTGCAATCTACAACCCCTTCCACATTTATTTGCTGATTGCTGCGTATCAGGGTAACGAGTCTCCTTTGAAGGGTCCCAGAACCCGTTACCGCGATGTGATTGGTCGGATCAGCATATGGCCTGCGGAATCCAACGGCGGAAGATCTGTCCGCGAAGAGCGCCGTTGGGAAACGCCTGCGTGTTGATCTGCACGTAGTAACGTCCCGGATTCCCGTCGATCTTCTTTATCAGATCGTATATCGACGTGCCTGAGTCCAGTGGCTTGATACTTTTTGTCGTGCTAAAGCTGCCGCCGCTGCTCGCGCCCGTCGCGCTCGACGCGTTCGCCGGCTTTATGACGTTCGCTTTCCCGTCAGACGGAGCGCGAGTGAACGCCGAATCCGGCGGGGTGACGCCGCTATTGCTCGCAGTGGATCCACCCCCGCCCCCGTTATTGTCAACCACACCAAGACTGATGTACTTGTTGTTGGCATCTGTGATCCACGTGTCGACCTTCAGTTCGTTGATATCGTCGAGGGTCCAGGGGTTCGGCAGGCGCCAGACGAGCGCGCCGTTGCTACCGCGGCGGCCGTCGTAAAGCATCTGGCCGGTCGGCGGAAGCGGCGCGGTGAGCGACTCGATGTCGAAGTGAAGCTTAATGTTGATCTTGCTGCCTTGCCTGCAAATCTCGGCGGAGTGTCGCAGAGATTAGACAAACGTTGTACGTCAGAGACGGTCGAAAACTTGAGCACGGTTATTGCAAGACGATTTTATACAAGCCCGGTTTACTGGAAGACGATTCGATTAAAAAACACAAAGACTCACTGGAAGACGAGAATGCGGAAATAGCCGGACGCGCCGGAGTCGCCGCCAAGGTTAGAGCTGAGCACCTTGTTGGGCTTGAGATTCGATATCAGCGTGCCTGCGAGAGCAAACAGAGGGGTCAAGAGCGGTGAGGTGAGGTTTCACTCGTGCTCTGGCTGGATTCGCCGCCGAGCTTTGAGCTGAGCGCCTTGTTGGGCTTGAGACTCGAGATCAGCGTGCCTGCGGGACGACGAGTGGTCCAGAGCTCACAGAAGGGGTCAAGAGCGGTGAGGCGAGGTGAGGGTGAGATGTGCGGTGAATCGAGGAGCGGCTCAACAGACGGGCGTGATGTCGATTGCCCAGCCAGGGGGCATAGGGGTATGAGGTATGGTGAACATGGCAAACCGTCGATGTGCGACATTGCGACGATTCGCAACAATCAGCACGGGAAGCAGAAGATTGAATGAGAGTGACTGGCGGACGGTTCGGGGCTGTGAGTCGAGTAGATACACACGAGAGGGGCGACTAGAGGGCAATCAGACAACAAATGGTGGGTCATAAAGAGGTGTGCGACAAGGGGTGTGCGACAAGGGGTGTGCGACGAAGGGCGTGCGACAAGGGCGTGTGACAAGGGCGTGCGACAGGCGGGCGAGGCTCACATCTTGGAATCCCAGGGAAGGGGACTGATTGCGCGTCTGCCGCTAGCGAGGATACTAGAACGAGCAGGACCAACAGCAGCACCGCAGACGTCATGCGGACGTCGATGTTGTCACTATCGAAAAGATAACAGAGAAGGGAGACGAGATGGGATGCAAACGCCTCGCGAAGTTTTGATGAGCTCAGAGCTACGGTACGCGAAGTGGACGCTGAGCAATGTGTTTGTACGTGCGGAAGGTAAGACCCAGAACAAGTCTAACACTAGTAGCTCACTGTCGTCTAAGTCAGTGCCTGCGGTGCTTCGGAATGTTAACTGTGATTCAAGTCCAGCTTACGACCACCGACGTTTTTTTCCTGGTGACGCATACACGCCTCTGCCAACGAGTCTGCCGACGAAGCTTGGAAGAAGCGGCTACGCACTGATAGGGGTTTGACCGACACGGCTAGTGAGGGGCATGACAAGGTGATGAATGTGGACCGTTATGGAGGAATGGGAGAGGGAGGGGATGATATCAGAAGGGAGAAAAACCTCCAGGCACTATGTCGGAAGGAGCGAGAGAGGGGCGGTGTCTGAAGTCTTGGCGACATTCGAAATGTCGAGTGGGTGGGTGGGAGAGGAGGAAATTCTTCGAGTCAAAGCGCGGAAATTCGCTCCACATCAAGTCGCACAACCGAGTCGCGCCGCCAATTTCCAGCACGATGGGGCTCCCTCGAACCCCGAGCTTCGGTTTGCCGTCGATAATTCGTTCGATATTACCATCCACATTTCCAGAAGAACGCCGAAGCCCCAAGAGAAAGCGCAGACCTATGAGAACACACTGATAATACACTTCTGTTATGCGAGATTTGAATGCAATAACCGATTAAATTTTGAAAATAATGGAAGTGCAACCAGTGAGTTCCGGAATACTGGTACCAGGTGTAATGAAATGAGGTCAATGTTACGAATAGTAATTACTGAAATACTATTGGGCACTCCTCACCGCAGCAAACGCAGCATACACTACCGAGACTGAAGAGGAAAGGGCGCAAGTGACGCGAAGGGTCACACGGTTACGAGAAGCATCTGGACCGTTAGGCAGACTGCGTCAGGCAGCAGCAGTGGTGAGGATTCTGCCCGACCGGTTTCGTAACCACCCAGAGTCGCACGGTTGGATTTCGATGCAATAAGGGAATGTAACCCTTAAGAGTACATGGCTAGCTAGGACGTTTCGAATTCCCATGTACTCCTATTTATATTCCTTGTACTGCATGTTTCTATTATCTCAAGCATTTACATTCACTCTGCTATTGAGGTCAAGGGCCCACCACCACAAATCAGAAGTGTGCGAACCTTCCCGAGGTGATCCTGGTCACGATCAACTTCTGATCGCAACATGGTATGAAAGCAACTCAGGAATCCTTCGCACCGCCACCACCGAAATCTTCGGCGAACGAAAAGTGGCGTCCGGCACACGATCGCGTGCAAGATGTTGGAAACAATTGTGGTTAAGCGCCTCTGTCGTGTCGAAACACTAACGCACAAGCGAAGCAAAGCATATCGAGGCACCAGCGAGTCAACCCTCGGAGGTTGAAGTAACTGCTGGAGGTTACGCGAAAGTCAAAGGTCAGCGACCTTTGACCTGACAAGTACAGCGCGACAGCAAGGACACACAACTGACTCGCTACAGAGCAGTTGCCCGAGTCGTCACTGTATCGAACCGCAACAGCAACAGTAAAACAGTTATAACCGTATCCTTTCATATTCCTTGTACTCTTATATAATCTTGTATCTCTTTGTTTTAATCAATCTACTTTGCCCTCACATATTAGCGCAAGGTGGTTCACAATACTTCATTAAACGCTTCCGCTATTACATCAATCTTACCCAGAGTTCACCCCTGCAAAGATCCTAAGGGCTTTTCTCAGCCCAATGTCAGGCATATATGCTATAGTCTGTGTAGGCTGTAGTGGGGCAGTTCATATGGGGTACAACACTTTAGGGTTCACTACTTGTACTCCTCATTCTGCTCAATGCATTCATTCCTCGTTTCTTATCATGGTATCGAGCAGGTTCCCTAGTGGGAACGCTACCTAGGGCCCACCACGATATTTTGTTTCCTGCCCGAAGCGCGCTTCACTCCTGCCCGAGTCGCGCTCTATGTGCCCTCCCTACCTTCGCGCCGCCCTTAGTGGCCCCTCTCACGGCCCCTTACGCCGCCCTTACGACCCCTCGCGCCGCCCTCTACGGCCCCTCGCGCCGCCCTTACGGCCCCTTACGGCCCCTCGCGCTGCCCTTACGGCCCCTTACGGCCCCTCACGCCGCCCTTACGGCCCTCGCGCGGCCCCCTTTTGGCCCCTCGCGGCGCCCTTTCCGGCCCCTTACGGCCCTGTCGCCGCCCCGTTTAGGCCCCTTGCGGCCCCTCTTCGGCCCCGTCTAGGCCCCTTGCGGCCCCCTCTGCGGCCCCGTCTAGGCCCCTTGCGGCCCCTCTGCGGCCCCTCTGAGGCCCCGTGGCCGCCACCTGCGGCCCTGTCGCCGCTACCTGCGGCCCCGTCGCCGCCACCTGCGGCCCCGTCGCCGCCACCTGCGGCCACGCAGCCGCCACCTGCGGCCACGCAGCCGCCACCTGCGGCCCCGCCGCCGCCTCCGGCCCCGTCGCCGCCACCTGCGGCCCCCGTCGCCGCCACCTGCGGCCCCGTCGCCGTCACCTGCGGCCCCGTCGCCCTCCCCTAGCGGCCCTGTCACCACTCAACCGCCCAGCGACAGAGCCGCCGAGCAGCCCAGCAGCCGAGCCGCCCACCAGCCGAGCCGCCGAGCTGGCGAGCAGTCGAGCCGTCCAGCAGCCGAGCCGCCCAGCAGCCGAACCGCCGAGCAGCCAAGCCGCCCAGCAGCCGAGCCGCCCAGCAGCCGAGCCGCCGAGCCGCCGAGCTGCCCAGCAGCCGAGCCGCCCAGCAGCCGCGCCGCCCAGCAGCCGAGCCGCCCAGCAGCCGAGCCGCCCTGCGGCCGAGCCGCCGAGCCGCCCTACTGTCGAGCCGCTGCTGTTCCTACCGGTGCGCCC